GAGAAAAAAAGAAATAAAAGAGAAAGAAAGATGGATGACACTGCAGCTGTTTTCAATGTAATAACACCCAGTTCAGCAATAAGATACAACAAAAACTCTTGACCATAGTAATGATATTATAAACTGGTACTACCTTTATAAAAGATTAACTCTGCAAACAATAAGAATCTTAACAATGCTTATAATCTTTGATTTAGCAATCTCACCTCTAAGAGACAAGTTTATTAAAACTAATTAAAGATAGACGTGATAAATTCAGGTTAATAATTCTGTATTCATAACCCATAATCCAAGAAAGCTTAAAAATTCTTTAGGCAGCAAAGCCTGTCCTGACTGCTATGATGCTATTTAAAGTGTTTGTCCCACTCAGTTCAACAGCCTGGCATTCTAAGCCATGAATTACTTGGACCTAGTCTACATTTTTGTGTTTATTTACCAATGAGCCTCCTACAGTGTTGTAAACCTAACATGCAAAACCAGTGACTTCCTCAAACATGGCCTGTGTGCTGAATGTGGCAACTTGGCTGAAGTTGTTCCTGCTTTCTAAAATGTGCTACTCTCCCGTATCTAAGTCCTAGCACAGGCCCCATCCTCTTTCCAGAAAGCTCCATGCATCCCTTCCTCAATCAGAAGTTATTACCCCACTATTATTCCTAAGCATATTTCTGTACTGCTGAGGTAATACTTAATAGAAGTTTAGCTATCTCACCCTTTCTGCACTTGGCTGAGCTCTCAAAAACAGCAGAGGTTAAATATTTCCCCCACTTTCTCACCATAGTGCTTTATACTGAGTTGTATTCTTACAATGCTAGAATGAAAGTATCTGAGTATAATGACATCAGAATTCATATCTAAAAATAATGTTTTAAAATCCCATCATTTCACAGAAGTGCCTATTTCTGTGAGGAGACCATTAGGAAAGAGGAAAAGGGGAGGGCAAAAGACTAAAAGTTGGCACAACGGCAACAAAAAACTAGAACAAAGTGGAGTAACAAGGAAAGGACTATGGAAACACAAGTTATTGTACAGTACCAGAAGAATCTTCCAAGCTTGCCAACGACATAAGTTTCTCATTTTCTAATAAACTAGTATGGCTTAAGTCAGTGGTCAGAGTCCTGTCTTCAAACTGTTTCCCAGCATCGGGCACAACAATCTATAAGAAATAAAATGGCGAGTAAGAGAAGCATACTCACTGCTCTGAAGAGCATAATACCTGGCTAAACAAGGACAAGTACCTTCTCAAGCTCCAGTGTGCTCAGGAAACAAAGAGCTCACTGGTCTGCATGCAATAATAACCTTCCCTTCCCCCTTAGCCAACTGCCTCAGTTGACCACCCAATAGGACAACCTTAAAATCTAAGACCTCTCTCAAATGTTCGCGACATGTTTGGGGAACCCATTAATACAGTTAGTATAGTAATACACAAATGAATCTAATAACACAAGACTTAAAACAGAAAATGAAGATAAAAGAAAAGCTGGACTCTACAATCTAAGAACTTTTCATATTACACTGGAACAATCACTTTCTCTGCTTCTCAACTCAGGGACCATGGCCATGTCTGTTTAATAAGTATAATTAAAGTCCATAAAGAATATTTAACATTCCCTGGGGGCCATCAGTGGCGTGGTGGTTAAGGCGCTGGACACTCCCACATGGCCAACCATGGTTTGAGTTCTGGACCTGGTGGCCTGCTTTATCACTTTCTCTCTCTCTCTGTCTGTCTCTGTCTCTGTCTCTCTCTGGTCAAATTAAAATAAATGAATGAATAAATAAAATTAAATAAATAATTCTTTTTTAAATAAAAAGAAAATTTAACATTTCCTTCTAAGTATCAACTTCACTTTACTGCAACATTAAATATACATATATTAAAATACTACTACTTTGTGACCAGCAGATAGCATAATGGTTATTCCACTGAACTCCTACGTGGCCAACCACGATTCAAGTGCTGAGATTTGAAACTCACTCTGGGTGTGTACATGTGCATGTTCAAAATCCTGAGAGGAGAATGGAGGAGAAGTGAGTGCAATATAGCCATCCCCCTTGAGGTATGAGTTCTCACTTTCTGTCTGTTTCTCCAGTGAGTGCAGTCGCCCTATAGTAAAAATCTCTCAAAAAAATAATACCTTAAGAATTAGAATGCAAAGAACACATTAAGTTTTACATTAAAAACATGGACCTCTAGGAGCAACAGGTGGCATGGTGGTTGGAGTGCTCAACTCCCACAGGCTCAAGAGCAATTCGAGTCTCAGACCTGCTTTCCCATTTTCCCTCTCTCTCTTTCTCTCTGTCTCTCTCTGGTGAGCATATATGCCCTATAAAAATTTTTTTAAATAATAATAAATACAATTAAAAAATAATTTTTTAAAAAGCTGTTAGAGGGCCCAGCAGGTAGCCTGGTGGTTAAGGGTGCTGGACTCCCACATAACTGACCGAGGTTTGAGTCCCAGACCTGGAAGCTTGCTTTCTCTCTTTCCTTCGCTCTCTCTGTCTCTCTCTCTCTGGAAATATTAAAATAATAATGATAAATAAAATTAAATAAAATAATTATTAAAAAAAAAAGC